GTGTAGAATTTATATTGAATGTTTTTTGTTGATTCTTGTGATGCACATACTTGGATTGTTGTTTTCTATTTTTTGTCGGTGAAAAGAACCAAGGTTCTTTGGTCGGGAGTGTTACGGGAAAACGAAGACATTTTGTTTGATCAAAAACCTTCATGTATAAATATCATTAACTTCACTGTTTTTGGTACATTTGTTTTACTTAACTTATGAACTTGTTTGAATTATTATTTGCGGACATATTGGACTCCCGTTTCTCTTTGTTGTTCGTTGCAGTTTTTTGCTCCAAGAGATAATAAATTAGAAGGTAATTGTAATTATTATAATTATTGTTGTTAGAACGACATTGGTCGTCTATTTGTAATAAAGTATTTTGGTCGAATTTGTGATTTGGAATAAACTTTGGTATCTACTTTGGAGTTTCGTTCTTGGTATAAAAATTTGGGACCGTGAATTACAAATAGACGACAACCGTGCTTCGTAAGATCAACGAGCAAAAAACTGGACGTAACATGGTCCTAATGATTGGCAAGTCGTTTTTACCGAAAAGTCAAAATCATGCAGTGATTTTCTAACAGTCTTAATTAGGTGGATGATTATAGACTGCAATGTATTCCTATAACTGTCATGCTAAGTTTCTATCTGCCTTTAGTGACCAACCTACAGCAAGTGTACTTCATGCAAACTTTTCATCCACTTATATAACATTCTAAATAGCTGTGTTCACATGTGCTTATCATACGGATTTTTGACCTTTGTGATGTTAGGAGTCAAAAAACAAATAAATTAAGTTCATTGTCAGCTTTGCGTTATGATATTTTATCCGTCTTTCTAGTGGTTATAATCTAAAATATAACGAGATATTGTCGATGATAATACGAATGACATCATAGCTATTCCGGTAGTCAGATTAGCCGTGGTTCAATCAAAATTTTCAAACAGTCCACTTGTTGTTCCTGATAAATCATCTTTAACCATTATTACTTACTGATCGAGCGTGTATTAAAGAAAATAGTTATTTGTCTTCCTGTTCTGAATAATATTTGTTGGGGTTATCTCTTTTAACTCCGCCTGCAGCCCCCCTGGGGTTACTGCCAGTTCCAAGCCCGGATAAATGAGGATTAGGCTTGGGTTTAGCGACACCATCATAGAGCAATCATTCTTTTGGTTAAATGGAATGTTCGAACATTCCAGGAGAACAGAAGAATATGCCAGGTTGCTGCAGAAATTAGATGTTTAACCTGGATGTGCTTGGAGTCAGTGAAACGCACTGGACGCATGTTAGACGGTTGAGGCTAGCTTCAGGAAAGAAGTAAATGCCTCATACATACAAGGAGTTGCACTGAAGCTGTCGAAACATGGGCACAGGATCACCAAAGCATCCTTCAAAACAAAGAAAGAGGGCATTACAATGAACGTCATCCAATGCTGTGCACCTACCAACGTCTACAATGAAGACGTTAAAGATCAGTTCTACCAGAGGTGGCAGTCAATCGTCGACCGATGATCATCAAAGGGTTTGACCATTCTGATGGGCAACCAAAATGCCAAGGTTGGCATGGACAACGCTGGATATGAGGATGTAGTGGAACGATTTGTGAAAAATAAGCATTGTCGTACTCATTTTGTTAAACTGTGCCAAAAACACTATTGCGCGCAACTTTCTCTTCGCTTTGCTGTCATTTTTCTAAATGCCATGCTCCCCATGTAATGCCAACGTTCTCCTTCAATAAAATACTCAACCATGGATTTATTTTGATATATTTGATGGGATAATATGGAACATTTAGTGGTGTTCATAGACAATCTGGTATCTCTCACCACTAAAACGACATGGCACAACATGGACTGGGAGAAAGGAACGAAAGTGGTGAGAGATATGTCGACCTATGGGCCTTCAAAAAACTGGTCATCAGCGGCACAATATTCCCACAAAAAGACGTACACAAAACTACGTGGATTTCACCCGATCACACTACTCAAAACCAAATCAACCGTATCTGCATCAGTAAAACGTTCAGAAGGACTATGGAGGACGTGAGAACCAAGAGAGGAGCTGATATAGCCCCAGATCACCACTCGCTAGTCGCCAAAATGAAATTGGAACTGAAGAAGCACTGGACAACGGGGCGGAAAACATCACGAAAGTTTAGTACGGCCTTTCTTCGGGATACCGTAAAACTCAACGAATTTAGGATAGCCCTCAGAAATAGGTAATTGTACGAAACAAGGCAGTCGCGCGTACTTTGAAGGTTGTACCTTTTTTCACGTGTATTTTCTTTTTCGCTTTCCGATCTTTTTACCCTAGTTCAACGGTACATATTAACTCATCTCTTACAACCACTCCTCGGTTATTCTTATTTTAGTAATTTTCGCTGTAGTTTTTGGCTTCATAATTCCAAACGTACATTGTGCCTATAGTAACACAACTCTGCTTACAAATAATTCCACAAAGATGTCACGTTTATCTAAAAAACACTTGATTTCACCTGTCGAATATAACATCTGTAAAAGATCCAAATCAGCTACTAAATTCGATAAAATCAAACGTAAGAACATTGCTCCATCCGTATCTTATTCTGATCTCCCCACTGGCTCAATAGAATCTTACCGTGAACTTGTAAACGACTTCTCTTTACCGTGTATCCCGCTCGTTGATATAAACACAACTCACCTCCTTCCGAGTGACTCGACACCATCCACTACTTCTTGTGTTCCATCTGAAATAGACTCCTGTGAGCACTTGGTAGAAAGTGTGGCTGGTCTTAAACATTTGACGAGCCCGCAAGCGGATCAAATTCATAGCAATCCGAAAAATGTCTCTAGGCCTTTTTGCCATAGGATATCCAGTACTGTTGATCTGGACTGTTCACTTTCTGATATGTTCATAACTTCGGATGACTTTACGCAGACTGAGCAACCGCAAAACACTTGTAGCAAGTCTGTTCATCATCCTATTCGCCTTAACAGCTGTGACCTGAACTCCAATAGATTCCCCACTATTAGCTCTGAGGACACCTTAAGTGCATTCGATATCAAGCAAACCATTCAGGATCTACTACCTTATAAATACCTGGTCAGTGTTCCAGAAAATCCTGATCTCGATATCATTAAAAAAACGGAAATAGTAATTGACCACATATCCTCTGAAGTGTTAAAAAGACTTCAGTGCATGCAGAATGCGATTGTTTATAACGTACCTGACAGTGCTAGCCTCAATTCTGTTAAAAACACTCTCCTTAAAGAGTGTGGATTGTCCGGCTCTTGGTGCGTAGCACGCAGGCTTCGTAAAATTCAGACTAAATATTCCTGTCCCATTCTTCTTCAGTTTAGTACTGTCATCGAAGCCAATCACTTTATTAACAGTCAGTCACTGCTTAGACACATTCCTTTGTTTAAGAAGATTAGAATTATCAGGGATAGAACTACTATACAGCGCCGTATCACCAATGGCCTTTCAACTATGCCGGTCGATTCGTGTACTAGTAGCAGCGTCAATCATGAACGTCACATTAACCCTACTATACCCACCCCTCCTAAAACGGAGCACAGATCCAAAGTGACTATTAGTCCGAAGACCTGTCCCCTGAACAAAAGTGCTGCCACTTGTCCCGTAGTCAAAAGCCCATCTACATGTAAACCACAGGTCAATCGCACTTTTGTAATACATAAACATTGTCCTAAAGATAAAGGGACAGACCTAGTGGTTCGAAATTCCCACAAGAGACGTGCTACTCGCCCTAACCGTCAGTCTGCAGTACTTAACATACCTAATAAACAACAATGCCTGCCCCCTACCTCTCCTACTCGGGACGCCACTATACTTCTAAAATTGAAACCTAGGACTCCTGAGAATACGGACACTCATACCACAAATACCTCCCTAAACTCTAACCGTAGGCGCCTCCCCGTTTCCAA